ATAAAATACGTCGATAAATATTCTTAAAAATTATAGAGAAATCAGTCTATTGCTCGAAATTTGAGATAAACGAACGAAAAGGAATCAATTATGTAAAAATAAGATTTCAAGGTGTAATCACAAATTATGATATTATAATAAAAGAAAATGTAAAAAATATGTTTAGTAAAACCGTATCCTATCGCGCAGAGATTTAAGTATATGATTTTAAAATATTTTTTCTCATATAATTTATATTCATCTCGGTGAGCCTATTTTTATATTTTATTTATTACATATCACTGAAACTTTATTATTTATTCTGCTTTATAGTAACCGCATTATACTATATCCCAAATCGAATTCGTCTTCACGTGTCTTGATAATAAGTATTAATTAAATTTCTTACTTTTTTAACTTTCGATAATGGTCACAGTGTATCGATACACGCGTCAACTAAACGCCAAGTTACTCTATTTCGTATCACATTGGCTCGCTGTTTAAAGAAGCATCGTTTGCGCGTCAGTGTGTGCTTTAAAAGACGAGGTCGTCGGTGCAGAACGTCGAGGAGAGACTATACGCGTCCAGACGGCGACGTCGTCGCCGGCGCCAAGCGCCGTGCTAACTAGCGCCCCTAGCATATATACACATACACAAGCCCACGCCCTTTATTAAACGTCGCCACCCCCGTCGGCACCCCCACACGTTCTCCTTCATAAAATTGAACACGACGTGTACACCTATACGCACCGACGTCAATGTACACACGTAGGGGAAGAAAACGGACGGAAGGATCCGACAAAAATCAGAGCGAGAAGACGAAGAGACTCGCGCGACGGTCATTAAGCCCGAAAGTTTTTATTCTAATGAAAAACGATGTGTCGATTCACGCGAGTTAAAGCATACGCTTTTCCCGGAATAATTATATCGGTTGTTGACAAAAAACATCTATTTTCCTACTTTCTGTAAGTTTTATATAATTGATTAAGTTCCATATCATTTTTTCAATAAGAATGTATTGAAAAGAGTTTAATGAAAAAATTATTAATTGTAAGTAAACCAAGGTTTAAAATATCTGCATATCTATATATATAGATATATCAATATCAAATATCAATTATATTACATTAAAAATATAGATAGTCTATGTTATAACAATATTTTATGATAAAAAATATTTTTATATGTATTGAGTTTTTCAAAGTAATGATCCAAACTTTGAGTACGTATAGTACTCATAAAAATAAGCAAGAAAGTGTTAGTATACATGAGTTTAGAAAGTCTGTTTCCGAAGTATAAAATATGTTATCATAAGGCATTTACCTCAAGTATTATCTCAAATAACACGGACAATATTTAAATAATAAGTTTCACATGAGAGGATTGGTCGCGATAAATCTATCGCATGACTTCCTTGTGTTCAAATTGAGATATATTAGATTACTATTTGCAAAGACAGTTAAAATGCATAGTATATTCAAATTCAGTTAATACTTTACATAAATTGAAATAGCGAATTCAAAATTCTTGTCGAAGGATAAGAAAAAAAACTTAGCATTTTTTAATGTGTATGAATCTGAATAAGGAAACGTATCGAGGTATACATCGAAATTGGCGTAAATATTTACTATGACAAAATAAAGTGTTTTCTTGTATAACTCGAAAGTTATTAATTTTTAAATCTTTTCTTATTAGCACTTTTTCTTGCTTATTTTGATGAGTATCATCTAATGGAACAATAGCGACTGAATCGAGATAAGAAATGACCAATACTTCCTTCTTATACAGGAAATATTCCAAAGATATATTAAAAGCATACAAGTATATTATGACTATCAATTCTTTTCAATCCTTTTCTTGATTTTCTATGTTTCTCTTATCTATTCCAACTTGATAAAAATCGGAATATTTTTTTTCTGTTATATTTCGTGATAATCCTTCAACACTGAAAAATTTTTAAATAACAGATTAATTAAGAAAAGCCAAAGACCAAAAAATCATTGATCATTGATTCATTATTAGTAGTTCTTTTATTTTAAATGATCATAATTGTATTTGCGTAAGCATTAACGAATGATTGCTTATTTCGATTCAGACGCTACTATTCCATTAGGTGATAAGTCCTCGAAAATAAATGCTCGATTTGTAATCAGAGTTGAGCACTTGTACTCCATCTCGAATGACTAACGATCTGATAAGATGGAGAATGATTGATCGAATTATATGCATACACTCTTGACTATTAATTAAATCTCTTATGATGATGGAAATAGCACACAAACATGCCATGCAATTTATTAATGGTATTAAATCATCATAATTCGAATATATGCATAGAAATTGCATAGAATAGAAAGATATTCACGATGAAATTATTATGCAGTGTTTTTCTATTATAATTTGAGCTGACTAATGTCTAATTATAGAGCTATTCAATATTCAAGATCAAGAAACGATCACGTACGTTGTGAAACGCGAGTGCCGCTCAAAAATGTAACGGTCGATATCATATTTTGTCTCGATATATCCGAATTATTGAGATTTCCGATTAACAAATTGGTTACTTACCCTCAAGCGAGTCCATCGTCGGCGTAATCGCGTTGATTTCATACCCGCTGATTCCTTCGGCACCGTAAATACATGGATAAAGTCCGCCGTACCGTTACTTCTGTTTCCCGCGCCATACCAGCAGCAATAACTCAAGCATAGACCTATAAAATACATAGACGGCGCATTAGTTGACGATATTGATAATAGGAGGAGGGATCTAAAATTCTGACGAAATAGATTTCAGGGACAAACTTCATACATTACTTTACAGATAATTTAAAAAATGGATGAATGCAAGTTTATTCTCAAATATATACATCGTACATATTGTTAAGTCAATCATTATTAGTATATATATATACTGTCGTATATCCATGTAAATACGTTCAAGCAATAGTTATGATGAGTTCGCTAATCATGAATCTTAATAGAGTTTACGAGAGATAGAGAAAAATATTATATATCGACCGTTGCATTTTTTAACCGCCACTCGCGTATCACGATGTACGTGATACGTTTAATACAATTCTATTGCATCCTTCAAGAGCACGTTCCACTCGCAACACTCGCGAGCATCATCCCATCCTTGCTTAATTTTTAATTAACAAGGACAAAATAATCCCACGAGCATTGCGAGTATCAAAGTGGAACGAGTGCCTCAAGATGAAGATCGTGCTAGCTTAAGTATCGACCCTCTCTAAGGGTTCGTTAAGCGCCTTCACCCTCGGTTTTCTAAATTTAGTCGACTCATTCGATGCCATTCTTTTTACTCACCCCCGAACGAGTCCACCGTCGGCCTAATCGCGTTAATTTCGTACCCGCTGATTCCTTTGACACGGCTCGTACACGGGAGGATTCCGCCGCACCGTTGCTTCTGATTCTCGCGCCATACCGACTAATGAATAACTCAAGCATAGATGTATAAAATGTATAGACGGCGCATCAACTGTCAATATCGACATGTTGAGAGGGAGGGGAGGAGGGAAGATCTAAAGTTTAGATGTAAGCGCGACGCGAGTCGAAATGTGAGATACTTCGGTTTACATGTACGTACTTGCGCTTTGCGTGGGTAGCATGTACTATTTTTAGCAATTAATAATATATATATTGTTTCTAAAATGCAAATCAAAAATATCACAATAAGTGTTTGCCATATTTCGATGGTCAAAAGAAATAGGCTGCATTTTGCAGTTTTCTTAAATTGTTTTTTTTTTTTTTACTGCATATATATATATATAGTTAGCAAGTTGCTTATAACTTATAACAATAAATTAATAATTTTTTTAGATCTCATTAGTACTTAGAGTAAAAGGAATAAATTTAACATGTTTTTAATTTAAAAGAAGTTTTATTATTAGATTCACGCATAAAAATAAAAAAACAAATGGTTGATAACTTCAATTGTATTGAAGTGATTGAATATGATGTGGTTAATTAAATCTAAAAAGCAGAATATTTATGAATATTCTTAAACCCCAGACATTCATAATTACCCCGGACACATTCGAAAAATCCCCCGGACGTCCCCGGATGCCCTAAAAAAGAGGACGGTGTCCGGGGAAAAGAGGACGTATGGCAACCCTAGATGCAGCGCATTTTTTTGCTTTATATGTAAAAACATTTTTATTATGTATCGATATATTATTCTCATATATATATATATATATATATATATATATATATATATATATATATATATATATATATATATATATATATATATATATATATATATATATATATATATATATATATATATATATCTGTATATTCCAATAATTTTGTTTCGTGAATAAAAAATATTTTACTTGGCTTAATCGATCGAAGTGTTTAGCAATATAATGAAATCTTTTTTGAGCTAAACTGAGAGTCAATTAGGGTCAACGTTAAATTAAGATCGATTTGCCGTTTCGAGACGTTCTACTGATTTAATTGACGTCATTAAAACGTTACAGATATTTCTTTCCATTTTATGCCTGAGAGACAGAATATATGTATATATATACATCCATACGTCAGGAGATGTTAGAAATAATACCTTCATCATTTTTATAATGTTTTTAGACATTTTCGAATTAGACATATCGTATTTAAATATTCATGCATCATGACTCTGAGATGAATCAACAATTTTATAATTTGATAACTGATCCCATTAAGATGAAATATAAAATTAACGGAACGTAATATAACATAACTTTTCATCTTCTGTTCGGTGATAATATTGGCAATTCTTTTCAGAACCAACAGTCATGATACACGAATATCTAGAGAGTGACACTAATTTATGATTTTACATAGAACTCCCTGAATGGTCGCGCCTAGTGAAAATCCCTAAATATCAATCGATTCGAGTGATTGTGTCCAATCGGGATTCGGGATGTGTTCCCTCTCTAGACATGACACGTTCCGAGAATCTGTGGAAGTAAAGAATTCGACACCTATTATAAGCTAACATAACCTTTTCAAAAATGACAGAGGTATTGAACAAATTACTATTTAATAGATATATCTATTTTTTGTCTAAAGGTAATAAGAGATTCGCCGGTCATAGCAAATGGGCGAATATAAAACATATAAAAGAAGAAAAAGATAATGAAAGGATGGTACTGTTTCATCACTTGAAACGTCAAATGGAAGTTGCTATACAAGGTATTTTTATTATGATAATATTATATATAGTATATTTGCTAGATAATAAACTCCTACATATAAAGCATATTAAATGTACATTTTTATTTGTGATTATTGAGAATATTTAAACACACATATTCTAATATATATTTTATCATATATGATAAAAAATGTATTATTCTTTTTATCACGTGTGTTATGTAATATGCTTAGATACATAATTAGTATATCTAATTTCATGTGCAGTATAATATCTTCAATATTAATATAAATCATTTAAAAAAAAACACTAAATTATATGTTTTAGAGAATGGTATTACAAAGCCTAGTAATAATGTAAAATTAGCACAAATTATTGAGCAAGCTAAAAAGGCGAATATGCCTGCCGCATCGATAAATACTTTTCTTGAGAAAATGGAAGCACGCAAAAACAAGACTCAGACAGGTATAATAGAAGTTCGTGGTCCAAATGGTTATGTTATGCTTGTACGTTATGCAACAGATAATACAAAAACATTTATGTTACAATTTAGAACAAAAATTAAAAAAACCAGGTATGAGAATAAATAAATATATATATATTTATAAAATATAATTTATATATTCAAAATATATCTTAAAACATGCATATCTGTATTTTTATTTTAGAAGATTAAGAAAAATCTTTTCATTTTGTAGGTAGCGAAACTCTGCCTTATACGCCAAATAAATCTACATCTCCTTGTACATTGCACCATTTTAGAAACTTTAATTCTTCTAAAGAAGGTATACAGTCTGACTGTAATGTTGATGATCTATTTTCTAATGGTAACGTCTTATAAAGTCATCTTATAAGTACATATTTATATATATATATAAATAGTAATAATTCTTTTATTTAATATAAGAGAGAGAATTAATATAATTTTTTTTAATGCTAGATTAATATAGTGTTCCCAAACATATTTTTTATATTCATTATTTTTTTAATTATGTATACAGCGCAAAAATCGCGGAAGATTCTGCCAAGCAAATGTTTACTCATGTTGGTAATATCACAGTTGAAAAGAAAGATGATTTGGAACATGCCATGGAGGATGCCATTAATATTGGCGCAGAGGATGTAGAAGAATTTGAAGAAAATAATATAAAATATTTCCAGTGAAGTATTTAAATAATTTTATAACAAAATTGATGTAAAAAAGCATTCTCTAATATAAAAATTACAATTTTAATATACTCACATTAATGTTTTTTGTTATAGTTTAAATGTGAACCAAAGCTCTTAAATAAAATACGAAATCTATTACAAGGTCTTCAATACAATGTGCTTTCAGTAGAAGAAAATTATATACCACACAATATAATAGAATTAAATGATTCAGATTTGGAAGTTATATCTCAAATTCGTGATAAAATTCTAAGTTTAGAAGATGTCAGTCATATATATGATAATATAGAATAAATCGATACTTTAACATAAAAAATAGTTCTTATTTGTACAGTGACAATCATACAAAGATTGCAATCCCAAATTGACAATTGATCGATAATATGATTATACGAAAATATTATAATTATAATTGATCAATAAAGTTCAATGCTTTCTTTATGTAAATCTTGTATACTGTATATTTAAGTATGTTACTCCCCCAATACATTAATTAAATAATATACTTAATTACATATGCAGACAATTACATTTAGTTTTCTATTGGTTAAATTGATACAGAAATATATATAATACAATATTAAGAATATATTACATGCACACTTGTTTAAAAAATATATATAGTTTATATTTAAACTATATATACGCATATATTATATCAAAAATACATAATCTTTATTAGGAAGCAAATTAACATATATCATTGAAAATGCTTCATTATCAAAAAATTATTATACAAATTTTCTCTAGTTAGAGCATTCAATATCTACACCATATCCCTTTATATCGCGAATATTAGAACCAGGAAAATCTAAAAGTGCATTATTTTGGAAAAGATTTATCAACATCTTTTTAGACATCCTTGCTTTTGCACTCCATGGACTATGCATTATATTGTCGATAGACTCGACTATTCTACTTTTCTTTAAAGGTGTATGGGTAGATTCTACATTTTCTACTTTTTCCTGCATGATAGTATTCACATTCAAAATTTCTGGATTAGAGTCAATAGAATCTTCAATCTCAGATACATTTTTTTCTTTTGATTTCTTGCGTTTTTTATCTTTTTCTTCTAATTTTTTGGCATCTGAATCTTGCTCTTTGCCAACATTTTCCTTGTCAAAAATTTCCTTTATATCACATTCATTCCTAAAACAATCTTCATTGTCAACGCTCTTTTTCTTTTTCTTTTTTTGTTTCTTTTCTAAGATTGCATTTTCTTCTTCTTTTTTAATCCCAATAACTGGCAATGTTTCTATTCCTATTGCATCCTTGCTTTCATCCATAATTAAGTAATTTTGTTGCTGTTTAGAATTTGTCTTATCTAATATTTCGATATTCTGTTGATCACTGCTTACTTCAGTTTGAATAGCACACTTTTCAATCTTACAATTTTCCTTATTTTTTTTCTTTTCTTTTTTATGTTTCTTAGAAGTTACAATTTCTTCTTCTTTACTCTTCTTAATTTTTTTATCTCTGATTATCTCTTCAATTTCTAATTCGTCACTTTTATTATCAATTACAGTAATGATTTCAATTTCGGTTTTCTTCTTTTTCTTTTTTTTTAATTTTTTATCCGGGATCTCTGTTTCTTCATTTTTAACAATACTAGTATCCAACACATCTTCTGATTCTATATTAATCTCAATTATTTCTTTTTCTCGTTCTGGTGACTCTTGTATCGTTTCTAGACTAGATATTTTACTAATCTTTCTTTTCTTAGTTTTTTTGCTTTTATGTTCATTCAACTTATTATCATTAATTTCTTCACATACTGTTTCTATATCTAATGCCTCATTGACAAATCCATTTGACACAGGAGTTGTAATGCTCTCCTGTTCTCGTTTTCTTTTGCGTTTTTTATTTTCAACTTCGAATTTATCCAACGTTGCTTTTCCTTTCCTCTCTTTGGTAGAATCTACATTATATTCATATAATATGACATGATCATTAAATGTTACACTTTTCTTGTCGCTTTTTTCGTCTGTCAAATCTAAACCACAGTTCTCTAGACCAAATTGTGCTCTGGATACTTCAAATTCTTTACCATTACAATCCTCCTCAAGATTTATGTCTAAATTAAGAGCTGGATTTGTAAAACCATCTTTACAATCTCCATCAATAATTTCAGTTTTTAATTTCTTTCGGGAATTGTGTTTATCCACTTCGGTGGCATGCAAACTATCACTTACATATTCCTTTTTTCTCTTCTTTGCAGATTTTTTGCAGGTATTTTCGGTGTTAGATAACATAATTTCTGTAGGACTATTTAATCCCAAACAAGGATTATCAAAAGCATAATTATTCTTTTCGTTAATATCTTTTGGCACTCCATTGGACAATGTATTCTCTGTTTTTGGTGCAAATCCAAAACCAGCATATTGCTCGTTTTCACTTTCAGAGTCAGTCGCTGGATTATTGATCATATTGCTTGAAAAGTTTTTGTCATAGTTTGGTTTATGCTTGAAGTAATCAGTCATGCTACCACTGTTAATTGTGACAGTTTCATTTTTATTTTTTCCTATGCTAATAGCTTTTTTTTCATAAACATCATCATTTTTTTCTGTCTTTATTTGAAATTGATTTGTTAATTCTTTTTGACCAAATATATTTGCCAAATCCTTTGGCTTATATTTATTTATATCCTTGCCACGTGTAAATTTCTTATAACTGCAAACAAATTTATACTTCTATAAATATAAAATTATCACAATATTATGCAAATATCTCTAGATCTAAATAGCTTACTGTATACGAGCACGACTCTGTTTAGACTTCAGTTCCATTGACTGTCCACTATCATCCTCTCTTTCCAATTTCTGAATAATATTTTGATTTTCATTCTTATGAAGTCGTTGCAGAAAATTGTTAAATTTCTCCTGATGTTCCATCCATACATCTACATTGTTATCATATCCTATACCTTAGAAAAATAAAATTCCAATTAAGCATAATGTCTATAAAATAGTTTTTACATAAAAATGATATGTTTTAATTACCCGCTGTATCTTTCTTATATGGCACATTGAGATATTCCGTAATGCCTTGCTCGTTGATACCAAGCCCTTTTCCTTTCGTCCAGCCCATTTTCTCTAACATTCTCTGACCAAACTTATTCGAGTCTGTCCCAATAATAATAATATTAGTAAAATAAAAAGTTAAAAATTCGAATATAACGTGTATAACATTAAAACATGCAAAAAGTCATATAGTTTACAAATAAATACATCGGGAATATTTTCATCTTGGAAGTTTTACATATTTTTAAATGCTCACATACCTTCGGACCACCACTTTCCTCGTGGATTAAGGCTCCATTTCTGCTTTTTTCGACGTTCTGCGAGCATCGACATGTTTCCCAATTTAATTTCGATTTCGTCTTTAATGTAAACAATAATCAGGTAAAGTTAAAAATAATTGAGAACATAAATTCTTTTTATATATTAAAAAAATGCCAGCACGTTTTCCAGAATCTACCTTGGAGTGGCCATATTTATTTTTATTCGATATTAGCTGCGGTCGAGAAGACGCTAGAGATGCTTCGAAGCATTGCATTAACCAATCAGAATAGAGAAATCTTTACTCTTTTTATCCTGATTGGTCAATCAAACGCTTCGAAGCATTTGTAGCATCTTCCCGACCGCAGTCATTATTAAATAATCGATGTTTTCTCTATATCGATAATAGAAATATCGAATAAAAAAATATAAATATTGACTAGATATTTTGAAACTATTCATATATTTTGAAAAATATATTTTAAATTAAAAATTGTAATAAAATGTTTTAATATACAATAAAAATAATTACACACATAAAATAATTTAAACCATTCCTAAAATGAGAAAATATCTATATCGTATTACGACTCCAATAAAAAAATTTTTGTATGTTTAAGGTGGCGACCATGTCTATGGTGGCGACACTGCCGCAACGATAGCAATAGCATTGCAAACGGCGTCTTGTGAAGATTGTGACAGACTACAGAGTGTGAACTGTGAGTCATACAATTATCAACAAATATTATCGCGCGTTTTCTTCTAGAGACGTGCCTCTATCTTGCTTGCGTAAAATTGTTTTCGAGCCCGTTGTCGACTACGCATCATCTGAACAACGGCTACAAAATTGCGCTACAAAGCTGTCTTTTTCCTGTGATCGAACTCCCACGAGACGCAACGCCATGTGTTCCGCCGAGCCTGACAATATCAATAATGGCGAAAGAAACAACGACGATGTTGGCGATGCGTTCGGATCATTGGGAATCAGCAGGTATGAGATGAATCTGTATCAAACGCTCACGCGATACATTGTATATTTTTTCACAATAGTATGAACTATCATAACAGATGCTCGCATATTGTCAATATGTAATTACTTTATAATGCGTTTCTGTGAACATGTTTAGTTTTTTTTCTATAATCTTACAATTCTTAAATATTTAATATAACGATCGGTATCGATATTGTGGAATGCGAAATGTATATTGCTAAAGTAGAGATTACCACTAATGATAAAAATCGTTGAGAGATAAGGCATAATTTGGCCAATATGGTTGATATTAAACAATCAATAATATCAATATTATGTTGGATAACCTTGAGGCCACAATTCAGTTACATTGAACTGACTAAAGATGTATTTTATTTAATGTTATATATGCTTTAAAGTATTTTAACAACATAAATTATATTAAAAATTTTTATAAGAACTTATAAAGATTTGGAACATTGTTGTCAGAAATCTGCAGTAGCTTTTCAAGATTATCAATTATATAAGCATGCAATATAATCATGGAATTATATCAATATATAAGTGTATTTAATCAAGTAATAATTTATTTGTAAGAATTTATTAGAGATGTAAAAAAATTCTAATAACTATAGCACAAAATTTGAAGTGGTAAAAATCCTTTGTTTTATTGAAATAATAAATCTAAGAATATATTAAATTCACAAAATATACACAAAATTTCATTGGAATTAGTGAGATATTATTAATATTTTTGTATATTTATCAATAAAATATAAGATACACTGCAAAATCTAGACTTGAATCATAGTAGATATTAATATATAATTCCATATAAAATATATAACTTGTATCTAATCAAAAAAAGTCTAATCTAAAATATTTGGAACAACACATTACACACAATTGTTTTTGCAGGAACAATATAACTTCTAGTATAGCATCATTACAAACATCACCAACCGAACGTTATGCTACACATTATAAAATGAATCATTCTAAACGTGGTATAGCTTTAATCTTTAATCAAGAATTTTTCACTACTGCGCATCTCAAACGTCGCTTTGGTACAAATGTAGACTGCGATAATCTTATTAATACATTAAAGAATCTCGGATTTGAAGTAAACGATGTCCATAACTCTACTCACGGAGACATAGTAAAACAGTTAGAAAGAGGTAAGTCATACTTATAATTTGCATATTTATTTACTTTGTTATTTTATTTAAAAAATTCTTATATTCTCTAAAGAATATTTATTAAAATAAAGCAAATCTTAAAAGATATATTTCATAGAAACCCAATATAATAACAATATTTTATAAACTAATTATAAATTACTGTTTTTTTGCAGTTGCAGACATGGACCATTCTGATCATGACTGTTTGATAATAGCCGTGTTAAGCCACGGCGAACTCGGTCGAATCTTCGCATATGACACTTCATACAAAGCAGATTGTCTTTGGCAACACTTCACTGCCGATAGATGTCCGACTCTCGCTGGAAAACCTAAACTATTTTTCATTCAAGCTTGCCAAGGTGACAGATTGGATCCAGGCATTACACTTAAGGAACGGACGGAAACAGACGGATTACCATCCGCGACATATCGTATTCCTTCTCAAGCTGACTTCATGATTGCCTATTCAACTATACCAGGTATTATATTGTTATCTGTAGATGAATATTAGATTGCTAAAAATATACATTTATTTATCACTTTACTTCTCTTCTATCATAGCTTACAAATGTATCAAGTTTGAAACCTTTAATATAATTTCTGATTAATTGCCAATCTTAGATATCTCATGATTTAAAGGTGATTTTCAAAATTAACAGGTTACTTTTCCTGGAGAAACACTAGCCGTGGATCATGGTTCATACAAGCTTTATGCATTTTTATCCTGATTGGTCAATCAAACGCTTCGAAGCATTTGTAGCATCTTCCCGACCGCAGTCATTATTAAATAATCGATGTTTTCTCTATATCGATAATAGAAATATCGAATAAAAAAATATAAATATTGACTAGATATTTTGAAACTATTCATATATTTTGAAAAATATATTTTAAATTAAAAATTGTAATAAAATGTTTTAATATACAATAAAAATAATTACACACATAAAATAATTTAAACCATTCCTAAAATGAGAAAATATCTATATCGTATTACGACTCCAATAAAAAAATTTTTGTATGTTTAAGGTGGCGACCATGTCTATGGTGGCGACACTGCCGCAACGATAGCAATAGCATTGCAAACGGCGTCTTGTGAAGATTGTGACAGACTACAGAGTGTGAACTGTGAGTCATACAATTATCAACAAATATTATCGCGCGTTTTCTTCTAGAGACGTGCCTCTATCTTGCTTGCGTAAAATTGTTTTCGAGCCCGTTGTCGACTACGCATCATCTGAACAACGGCTACAAAATTGCGCTACAAAGCTGTCTTTTTCCTGTGATCGAACTCCCACGAGACGCAACGCCATGTGTTCCGCCGAGCCTGACAATATCAATAATGGCGAAAGAAACAACGACGATGTTGGCGATGCGTTCGGATCATTGGGAATCAGCAGGTATGAGATGAATCTGTATCAAACGCTCACGCGATACATTGTATATTTTTTCACAATAGTATGAACTATCATAACAGATGCTCGCATATTGTCAATATGTAATTACTTTATAATGCGTTTCTGTGAACATGTTTAGTTTTTTTTCTATAATCTTACAATTCTTAAATATTTAATATAACGATCGGTATCGATATTGTGGAATGCGAAATGTATATTGCTAAAGTAGAGATTACCACTAATGATAAAAATCGTTGAGAGATAAGGCATAATTTGGCCAATATGGTTGATATTAAACAATCAATAATATCAATATTATGTTGGATAACCTTGAGGCCACAATTCAGTTACATTGAACTGACTAAAGATGTATTTTATTTAATGTTATATATGCTTTAAAGTATTTTAACAACATAAATTATATTAAAAATTTTTATAAGAACTTATAAAGATTTGGAACATTGTTGTCAGAAATCTGCAGTAGCTTTTCAAGATTATCAATTATATAAGCATGCAATATAATCATGGAATTATATCAATATATAAGTGTATTTAATCAAGTAATAATTTATTTGTAAGAATTTATTAGAGATGTAAAAAAATTCTAATAACTATAGCACAAAATTTGAAGTGGTAAAAATCCTTTGTTTTATTGAAATAATAAATCTAAGAATATATTAAATTCACAAAATATACACAAAATTTCATTGGAATTAGTGAGATATTATTAATATTTTTGTATATTTATCAATAAAATATAAGATACACTGCAAAATCTAGACTTGAATCATAGTAGATATTAATATATAATTCCATATAAAATATATAACTTGTATCTAATCAAAAAAAGTCTAATCTAAAATATTTGGAACAACACATTACACACAATTGTTTTTGCAGGAACAATATAACTTCTAGTATAGCATCATTACAAACATCACCAACCGAACGTTATGCTACACATTATAAAATGAATCATTCTAAACGTGGTATAGCTTTAATCTTTAATCAAGAATTTTTCACTACTGCGCATCTCAAACGTCGCTTTGGTACAAATGTAGACTGCGATAATCTTATTAATACATTAAAGAATCTCGGATTTGAAGTAAACGATGTCCATAACTCTACTCACGGAGACATAGTAAAACAGTTAGAAAGAGGTAAGTCATACTTATAATTTGCATATTTATTTACTTTGTTATTTTATTTAAAAAATTCTTATATTCTCTAAAGAATATTTATTAAAATAAAGCAAATCTTAAAAGATATATTTCATAGAAACCCAATATAATAACAATATTTTATAAACTAATTATAAATTACTGTTTTTTTGCAGTTGCAGACATGGACCATTCTGATCATGACTGTTTGATAATAGCCGTGTTAAGCCACGGCGAACTCGGTCGAATCTTCGCATATGACACTTCATACAAAGCAGATTGTCTTTGGCAACACTTCACTGCCGATAGATGTCCGACTCTCGCTGGAAAACCTAAACTATTTTTCATTCAAGCTTGCCAAGGTGACAGATTGGATCCAGGCATTACACTTAAGGAACGGACGGAAACAGACGGATTACCATCCGCGACATATCGTATTCCTTCTCAAGCTGACTTCATGATTGCCTATTCAACTATACCAGGTATTATATTGTTATCTGTAGATGAATATTAGATTGCTAAAAATATACATTTATTTATCACTTTACTTCTCTTCTATCATAGCTTACAAATGTATCAAGTTTGAAACCTTTAATATAATTTCTGATTAATTGCCAATCTTAGATATCTCATGATTTAAAGGTGATTTTCAAAATTAACAGGTTACTTTTCCTGGAGAAACACTAGCCGTGGATCATGGTTCATACAAGCTTTATGCATGGAATTACGCGAAAATGGTACTCGTTATGATTTACTGACTTTGTTAACTTTTGTTTCCCAGCGTGTTGCCATAGACTTTGAGTCGAACACGCCTGATAACTTAACTATGCATCAACAAAAACAAATTCCATGTCTCACTTCTATGCTGACACGTTTAGTAAAATTTACATCTCCAATGAATGGAGTTGTATAGTCAGTCATATAAGAGGGAATATAAAAAATATATGTGCTTATATATGTGCTTTATATTTGTGCCAGTGACAAATTTTTATATATCAGAATATTTTTTAATTTTTTTATCTTTCTTTAATTACATTATATTACATCATTAATTACATTTTTTTTTTTTTTTTTAAATTTTTTCTCATTATTTTTTTTTAATTATGTTCCTTTTCCTCTCTAATAGATAAATACAACTACTGCCACGTTCATAACTATATTTTTTTTTTTATATTTTTACTTTTTATTGCTATATAAGAGAAAAACATTATATTGTGATAAAAATAACTGATTTTTTAAAAATATATATTGCATTTACAATGAACAAAGTATAAAATATAATGAAGATGTATATATACATATATGCACACTTACTTTATATACAATATATATGTATATAATATAAAATATACATTTCTATATAAAACACAATATATATTTTATCTTTATATACATATATAGTATATATGTATATGTATCTATAGTGGCACTCGCCATAAACTTCATGTCAAACATGCCTAACAGTATGACAATGCATAAAGCAAATTCCATGCATCTTTTCTATGTCGATGCATTTGGTAAGATTACATCTCTAAAGAACAGAATTGTATAATGGATCGTTTGTGCGTGTGTGTGTATATATATATATATATATTATTTACTTGGAGAAAACTTCAGAGAAGCAACTCTCTTGCTTTTGACAGTTTCATTTCATATATTAAGATATATAATAAGTACAAATAAAAGATTTATCAATTACATTAAAATACATATGATATACATAGCTATTCTTAATCATATTTTTCATCAGTAATTCTTATAAATATAAAACATTTGAAAAATTTACAGTAAATATTTCATACATTCTATTACAGTAGCATTGATGTTATATATAGATATAAATAGAATATTTTTTAATTATATAATGTATGATTACATGAACCATATATATGTATATATAGTATGACAATTTTATTTTTTTTATTATATATACATATATATATATTTTATATTAAGCTTTGTAACAGTATGTGTATGATCTCTGCAATAAGTAATAGCCTATCTTTGATGAAACAATGTTCAATATTCAACTTCACAATGCATTATTGTATTTGCCTGAGATAAATTAGTTGTAATTTACGAATGTGATTACAACAAATATTCAAATGTTATAAAAAAGTTAAGAAGATAAGTTGCATTGTGATTAGACTAATTAAGATGTATTATCTTGCTTGCAAACATCGAAATTGCTAGCAGATATGCAGTGTTGTCTCGCTAGTTTAATGAATATAATAATTAAGAACTTGAAAAAGCAAAAGGATCAATTAATATTGTAGCAGAAATTGCTGTATTCGCAGGAGAAACGGTAACGAAATTTGCGAAACGTGATACAAAGTCTTTCATAGTAAGAGTAATCGAATTCATATGCCTTATATCTACTCGCAATTGTTTGATAACTCTATGGTCGAACTATTTAAAACTAAAATATGTATGCGTGAGTATAACGTGCATAACATATATTTAGACATTTTTTTGAAAAAATGAATATATATATATAATGTACAATATATATATTATATATAATTTTTTATATATAATATGTATAATAGATTTTATATATATAATTTTTGAGAATCTCGCATTCTCATTGTTCCTTATTGTACAATAAGATGTTTGCAATTTACCACAGAAACGCATTTTGCAATGTAAACATCTTATTTAAATAACGTTATAAAGTGATTGCTCAAAAATATAAGATGTACAAGATGTTGGGCAAAATGAAATTGTGCAATGTCTCTTACATTGTGTATTGTGATAAATGTGTGCTAAGAATAGCCACTGTTGTATGCCACATGAATCCGTTTTGAAATTGCAATTTTCGAAACAATGTTACCGGAGTATTAAAGCAATTTTCAGCATCTTTATACACTAGCTCTAGCGGATACTTCAGTGTGTGCTTTGTATCGTATATATACATATATATTTATATCATTCTATATACACAAACTTGTATACAGATTTACAGAATAAATTAATAGATAAAACACACAATTGCAATAATAATATATAAAATCGTTATATTAATTGTTAAATTGCTCTACCATTGAATACTTCAATACACGCACCCCATGAGATGTATCGGTTAAAAAAAAAACCTTTTTCTTTTAAATGATAAAAAGTATATTTCATAAACATATCTTTTGTGTTGGATAATATATACATTATTATTATATATTACACATATTAAAAGTTTATAAAAATTATAACTTAATAATACATATATAAATTATTACACACATGTTAATGTTTGCACTTTCATATTCTCCAAATTCAGAAACCTATATAGTGTTTTTATACAAAAAATGTTAATGTGTAATTAAGCGATGCTATAAAAATAGTAATGTTGGAGGTATTACTTATCTAAAGCTATTATAAAATGTTTTTTACAGTAATATATATATAGTTCTGATATTTTTATCGTAAATGCTGTATCATGACATTGTAATGTGTGTGGTCCCTTTTGAACTCTAGTATAAAATCTACAATTGCTGTCATTGAGGCACTTGTCCAGGAATATTAATTATCATTTTATTTAATAACCGTTGGGATCTCTCTGGTGCTGTATACGGACGGATTAGATTTGTACTAGCATTGCTTGGGCTATAATCAATATTTAAATTTAATGGATCTAATATTGTAGTCATAGTTTGTGTACTTTTCTCTCCAGCAAGAGTTTCCACATTAGGCGTAAGATTTCGCGAGAGATTTTCGCATTCGATAGTCGATTGTTCAACTGGAAGAGGGGCAGTCTTATTTCTTCGTACAAAAGCTTTTATAAAGCTTTTCCCTTCATTAGTACCTGTAGAATATTATTTCACATAAGACTAAAAAATGAATGTATGTATATCTTTTTTATGTTTATCTTATATTATTATATTATAGGACATACCATTGCATGTTTCACTTATTAGAACTTCATCCTGAAATTTTAGAAAAATTGATGCATTAATGGCAAGTTAAGAAAAAGTTCATATATTGAAATATATTTCTAAGATGAAGAATATATGGATAAAGTAATGAATAATTAATATAAAATTTGCACCTTTGTTGCCAAGAGATCTTTAATGGGTTTAAAAGGATTTGAGTGTATAGAAATTCTTGATGGTGTATTTGACGCAATAGACTGAGATTCTTGAATACTTTTATGTTGACAACTTTGTGATTGTTTGATTCTATTATTCAGAGCAGCATAATTTTTTACTATGGTTTCCAACAGCCATCTGTATGAAATAAGTTCTGATCATTAATATAGAGAAGTACATACTATAAAACTTTTATTTTGTATGTATATCTAAACTTTGTTTACTGTGATTACAAACTTACTTATATCCATTCTTTATGCCCATAGTATTACTTTTTGATTGTTCCTTATCATAAATGCAGGAGCATGTTTCTACTCTTGTCGGACATTTCATGGCATTGGCTGCATGCTCCACATCCAAATTTTCAACCAGATCTAGCTCATCAATAGCTCCATTCAAATCCTGTTTGTTTGCAAATCTACACATACATTATAAAGATCTGATTAAAATTGTAGAATCAACAATATCACGCATCTTTATCAATAATCTTAATCATACAAATGATCTAAGCTGCTTTTTCCTAAACTATAAAAAAAAAAAAAAAAAAAAAAAAAAAAAAAAACAAGAAGAGAGAAGGACATGTATTAAACTTGAAAAAAAGTTCAAAGTGTCAAAGTGTCAGTTCCGTATTATTTTTTACGTGCTGTGACGTTTGCGCACAATTTGGAATACACGATGGTGCCTATTAATCTGTAAATAATAATTATTACCATCGATCGACAAATTCTCGATTTTATCAAAGTTTATATTCCAATTTTTTTAAACGAATGTGAAACAAATGTGCACAGGTGAAAGTGTACAGACATAAATTCAGATCCCTTACAATAATAATGGTTTCGCTGAAATATCCTCGTGTGTTATTAATTCGTTAAACACAACTTTATTTTCTGCAAGACGAGAAATATCACTAGCATCCACCACATATATAAGACCATGTATCTAAAAGATGTCAAATAAGAATATATAGATATGAATAGTGTACTAAAATTTCTTTTACCATTGACAGATAAAATAATTGATTAATTATTAATAATTTAATTACAGCATTTACTTATATATGATTCTATTGTCACTCGTTTGAAAAATATGCATCTGTTGCTTACATCATTATAATATTTAGGCCACAATGCTCTAATCTGAGAACTACCACCAAGATCATATATCTTTACTGAATACGAGTTATGTTTTAAAGATACTGTCCGAAATCCCATTGTAGGCAGTACATTCCTATCTGGATCTGTAAGAAAAATATGCAGTAAAATGTAAAAGATTAACAGTATATAGCGATAAGTTCATCTTTTTTTTATTTTCAGAAAATTTACCTCCACTAATATGATTCAGTATTAAAGATTTCCCAGCATTATCTAACCCAACAATAAGCAGGATAATGGTCCTAAAATCATGAGAAAAGAATGTAAACAAGAAGATATCGCGCCTGCAATTCGACACACGTGTCTTTATGTCATAAATAATGTATACTTTTCCGTGCCGCGGTTTCTTCTCAGCCTCCTTAACACGCTCCTGATGCAATTACCCATCGTTAAAAAAAAGATTAATTGCGTTTCAACAGACTTCTGTCATTTATTGCATCGTACATATGACACATATTATAGAGTTAATTCTACGTATTATACATCAATATATACGCAAACACTGTAATATACACAATGAACTCTATACATATATCGGGACGAGAGAGATAGCGATATCAAGTATCTTTGTCTCTTTCCGTACAGTCTAATTACAAAGTTTTCTTTTATTCCTTATAGAGAATAGTAGAGGTTGAAAGAAAGATTCTATTCAATTCTATTGTTTAAGTTGAAGTTGGAGAATGCAACGTTTTTTTCTTTTTAGTTGTGGACATCAATTGAACTTGCGACAGTTTTGGATGGCACGTCTGAAACATTCTCTATTATATATGTGTCATTCAAATAAGTAATCTCTAATGTCATATTTACTGTTAAATAGAACTGTCTGACGACTATTTTGCATACACGTCTTTTCAATATACGTTCGCGAACGTGTTCTCCATATAAAACAGATGAAATTAAGAAGTAGACAGCGACGTTTGTTTAACATTAAATAGATATGTAAATAAATGTAAAGCATGAGCTTAAACCATAATTTATCGCAATTTCCCATTTTTTAACAGTATCTTTGTAAGTGAATCTTGTAAGAGAAATTTAATTTATATTAAAATTTTAAATCCATATATTGTAAAATCCCTAATATATTCTTATATTTTAAATTAGTTAAAGAATATAGATTTTGTTACATTTATTTTATTTTATTTTTTTTTTTTGCGCTTGATTTGTTACATTGATTTTTAATCGCCAAAAGCGTCATTTTATATTATCTGAAAGCATCGCAAAAGATAACTGGAAAAGTCGTCTTATCAATATTACGTAACTATCTACGTCTACATATAATTCATGGTTTAGAAGAACTAGTTGCGTGTGTTTATATATATATAATATACATACACACATACATATGCATATATACGTAACCGCGAATCGCGCGTGACATTTAGTAGAATTATTTATTCTGCCCGCATAAAAAAAGTTATTTAATATATTTGGTAACTTGTACAATTAATTGCGATGGAACAGTATTTAAAATCTATTAAAGTTGGATTTATTGGAGGCGGAAATATGGCTAGTGCTATAGGCGCTGGTTTAATCCACAAAGGTAATTGCATTTTCTTCTCTGTCTCAAAATAAATAAGACTGATAAGACGGATTTACAAAAATGATGATACATATATGCTTCAACAGGTGTATTGAATCCAGATAATGTTTGGGTTTCCGGCCGTACGGACAGAACGCATAGCTTTTGGACGGATTTAGGTGCGCATCCAACATTGAAGAATAACGAAGTTGCAAACAACTGCGATATTATATTTTTGACAGTGAAGCCACATATGTTAGACGATGCACTTAACACTTTTGTGGAACAAAAAGTGACTGAAAAATTTAAAAACAAGCTATTTATTTCGGTGCTCGCTGGAATATCTCTTGAAGTTTTACATACTGTAAGCAAAACATTTTATATAACATGTATAATATTATTTCAATTTTTATAACAATTAATAGATAAAATTTGTTTTCTAGAAACTCTCCGCTATTGTAATTTCACCAAGAATAATCAGATCTATGCCAAATACACCTATGATGGTTGGAGAGGGAATTACAGGTATGTCAAAGAAAAAGGTACAATAAATGCAGATTAATTTGTGTTAATACAAATGTAATTTTAGTTTATTGCAGCTTAAACACCGAGCAAAAAGATCTAGAACTGGTAAATACATTATTTTCCTATATTGGTATGAGCCAAAGTGTTCCAGAAAGTATTATAAATGCCATTGGTGGTCTGTCAGGTTGTGGTCCAGCATTTGTAAGTTGTTGCAGTATTGTTGCAATTAGAGAGATGCATGGAAAAAATTATGTACAACTTTTAATTTGTATTTAGGCATATCTCATCATAGAAGCATTGGCAGATGGAGGTGTGAGGATGGGTGTGCCAAGGCCACTGGCAACTAAATTTGCAGCGCAAGTGCTGGTAGGTGCTGGCAAAATGGTACTCGAGACTGGACGACATCCTGGTCAGTTGAAGGACGAAGTCTGTTCACCTGGAGGTACTTCCATCGCTGGTGTTCATGCTATGGAAGTAGGAGGAGTCAGGTACTTCATAAATTATTTTATTTATTTAATAATTATTTTATTTAATTTTTATGTAATTTCTAAATAATTAATTTAATTGAATGCAGGGGATCTATGATGAATGCTGTTGAGGCTGCTGTAAATAAAACAAATGAATTCTCAATTAAGTCTTAAGTAGTGATCTTCAATAGTTAATATTTTGGGATATTTTTTAGAGTGAGTAAATATAGAATGTTATTTCATATCTTTTAATGAAGTCACTTTTTTACATTTAAATATTTGAAGAAAATATTTTACTTAGCAGTTTTGTAAAGTGGATTATAGTATATAATGGTATCATGAATGTGCTATAATTTTCAAAGTTTCATTTTTATATAAATATAAGTTTCATATTTTTTCAGGAATCAGTATAGTTTATTGCGAAAAATATATACAATAAATACATATATACAGTATGTCTAATTAACTATTCAGAAGCTACAATCTAGTAATAAATTTATCTCATAAAAGATGTTTCTGGTAATCTATATTTTAATCTGGATGTCTATAATAATAAAATAATAATGGTACACTTACATCCATACATGCAAATTTATATTACCTTGCTTTATTTTATATATTATGAAAAACTTAATTTTTTGAATATTCTACACAACGTGAGGGGTCTGTAGGATAATATTCTTGACACTTAGTCATCAGTCTCTTGAGTGCTTGGATGTATTTTCTTTGAGTTTCATCGTTCATGACGTGAGCGACATTCTTTGAGAAAATCTTCTCTCTACCAGTACGCGCATGGATACCAACCATAGTTACACCAATGGGCCATGGAGAATTGCCTATAGCCATTTGCAAATAGGCGTCGCTAGCCTGAAATAAAAATAATTAATGTTTCATAAATTATAAAATAGTTATATTATTGTAGAAAAGTTTATTTGCTAAATTATTATATTTGTACCGCTGACAGGTGCATTATATGTTACAATACACACATATAATTAGATACATACCAATATATAATTACGTTGTAGTAAATGTTTAACAATTTCTGTTAAACTGTCGGTTATATCCTCTGGAAGAGATTTATTTTTTAACTTTCTTAAAAGCGGCTTTAAATATTCTCTTGTTTGAGCATATGTTGCACTATTCATTTTTCCCTTTGAGCTCATCTTTTCGGCAGTCGATCTGCTGTTTAACTGATTGCCCCACATCTGGACTAAATATTGTACAAATAGAGTAATTACGCTCATGTCAAAATCTTTGTCTCCCTTGTTTAGTTTAGTTGACATTTTTTCTATGTCTTCATAAGTAACACCTTCGTCAGGCACATTCACATCCCCCTTCCCATCGAGACTTTGGGATTTGGAAGATGTCAAGATCTCGTTGAGATATGCTTGATCCACTTGTTCCATTGCCTCTTGAAAATCATTTCTGAAGCCCTGTTAATGCATTATCATAATGAAAACCCATTCTTTGACAAGGCTTCAATTAATAGAAATAATATGTATATAAAAAAACAAACGTACTTTACCTTATTCACTTCTGGCTCCAGAATTTCACATTTCCTTAATCTCTTGAAAGCTTCTATCTCAGATTCACCAAATAATAATATAGGTTCTCCTCGTTCGCGTAATCGTCTGATTACTTCTTGTCTAGATAGCAAATGTTCAGAACTACTGTCTGTTACAGATTCCTCTAACTGTCGAATATCATTTGATGGAGCAGCATCATTATTCACTTTATCAATCTCATATACTTCCTGTTGCTTTGATATTAATTGATTCCTTTTAAAATATTTTTTATTATTCTCCTGCAAAAAATGTCTTGCTATAAATATTGGCGTGTGGTCAGGTAATTGCATAAAATCACAAAATATAACATGTTACATACCAAGACATGACTTTCTTCCAATTCTTTACGTTTTTGCATTATCACTGCCTTTAGAATATCCATCTTGCTATAATAATTATATGGATAAATGTACAAATATAAATAAAAGATAAGTTTTATATATATATATATATGCTCTTTTTTGCTCCAGCAATTTAATTCTTCTCTTCCAAGAAAAGATTATGTTACTAACAAATCTTTCCTATGTACATACCATCGAATTAATTCAATTAAATTAATTCAATCTTTTGCTTAATTTCTTTAATTAGATTTTATTAATCAAAAATTTTATATTATTGCAAATTTATTTAATTTTTGGAACAAAAACATTCGAGAGAGAGAGAAAGAGAGAGAGAACAGATGTTTATACGATACGAAGCAAACATTGAATTCGCCATTTTGGCCATAGACAATATATAAAAATATAAGTAAACTCGATAGAAGAGACTGCAGAGACCTCTCACAGAGTAGAGTTGAATTAGATATGTAACTGCAAATAAATCTCCAACGCGAAGAGAAAACGACTTTACGAACATATGGAAAAAATTGACAGCAGTCCGAATTCGAAATAAAGATTCACCGTGTGATATTTCTAGATATTCGTTTGTTCTAGACAAGGACTGTCTACGTAGTTGTCAAAATTAATGCATAAATTGGTTATGATATTTACGATTATGAGAACGACTTATAACGCAATTTTTTTATAATTTACACGAAAATCGTGTATATGTATGAGCGTGTATAGATAGGAGATTCGAGAATTTGACGGAGATAATTTTTACGAACAATAATGTTGAACGATAATGTTGAACGATTGGATCCGGAAAAAGTTGGATGCGGCTTTAGCGCGTTCAGGGAGATAGACGAAGTTATGACTCTGACGACGGAATTGAGAAAGCCGGATTTACCACCAAGTCTCGTCGAGAGAAATAGGGATCGCTTCAATTTCATTCTGTCTCAGTACCAGGATCAGCCTCAGCTATTGGATCCTTATCTCGAGAAGATTTTGGATTCCCTGCTATCGATTATCAGGGACAATGATTGTGCGGAAAGCATTAAACATAACACGTTTAAATATTTATTTATTATCATGTCTGTGAAAACGTATAAAAAGATTGTTACTTATCTTCCACACGAGGTAGTGGATCTATTACCTGTATTGAGAATGCTTGAAAAGCAAGACCCAAATGATGTAGAGACATGGGAAACCAGATATGTTTTGCTCGTATGGTTATCTATTATTTCCAAAATACCATTTCCCCTTTGTCGCTTAGAGACTTCTGAGAATGTAGATTTAGAGCAAACTATTATTGTCAGGTAATAATATTGTTATATTTATAAAATGTGTGAGATAAAATTTACTGAAATAGATGGTAAGATGTGTCAATCTTATTCTGTTATATATTTCAGAATTCTAAAAATATGTAAACTGTATTGCTTATCAAAAGATGCATGTGCTGTAGCAGCTGTGTTCTTAATAGCAAATTTTTTGACAAGATCAGATGTCAAGAAATTATACTTGGAAGAGATGATCATGTGGTGTTTTAAGGTAATGCTTTCTCTTTTAATGATACCAAATATTATCAGTATCAGAGATTGAATGATAAATTTAATATAGATATTTTTTTGGAAGAAATATTTATAATCATTATAAAAAAAAGCAACATTTTTAAATATCATTATAATCTTTTTCAGAGTATAGAAAATGATCCTTTGAGACATGGGCCTCTGGCTGTAATAGCTTCCATATTAAAACATAGTGCTAGGGAAGATGTCAAGCCGTACAGTCAACTGCTTCTCGATAATATATTGAAACTTCGAATAAGTGACAATCCTACAGATCTTATTAGAAAGTTTGGAACAAAAGTTGTTCAGCGCATAGGTATGAGGAAAAGCTTAAATTTTGTTTACATGATACATATGTATTATTTATATTATAAAAATTGATTAATGATATGTGGTAGGTTTGGTATTATTGAAAACAAAACTAGCATCCTGGCGATATCAGAAAATGAATCGGCCAATCAGTATTATGCCTAATGTTCAAGTAAATATCGAAAATATGGATAGTGTTACTGATATTAAGGAAGTTATTTCAAATGATAATGAAGATCAAGAAATTCCCTCAGCCATCGAAGATATAATAGAACAACTTATACAAAGTCTTCGAGATAAAGCGATTACTATAAGGTATGAATGTGCTAGTTTATATATTACAATTATGTCACATTCATTAGAAATAGAGTATTAAATTAGATATAATGGTATAGATGGTCTGCGGCAAAAGGTATCGGCAGGATAACTGCGAGATTACCGATAGACTTAGCCGATGATGTATTGGGTTTTGTGTTGAATCTGTTTTCCGGGCGTGAATCAGATTCGGCATGGCACGGTGGTTGTTTAGCACTCGCGGAACTGGGTAAAGATATCATTTAGATATGTATAATGATTTTTATTCTTGTATCACTAACATTACTGTGTTTATATTTCAGGAAGACGTGGCCTATTATTACCATCATCATTGAGCAATGTCATTCCCGTAGTTTTGCAAGCCTTAGTCTTTGACGAACCTAGAGCTTACGGATCCATCGGTTATCTGATTAGAGACGCCGCTTGTTATATATGCTGGTCTTTCCCAAGAGCCTATGACCCGCATGTTTTCGAACCTTATGTCAAAGAAATCGCGGCAATGCTATTAGTGGTGACATGCTTCGATAGAGAGGTACAAATCATTCATAATCTCCATTTGCATTTATATTATGTAATACGCAATGTTGCATCGATAGATAAACTGTAGGAGGGCAGCATCCGCCGCATTTCAAGAAAATGTTGGCAGGCAAGGCAACTTTCCACACGGTATAGATATATTGACTGTCGCAGATTATTTTGAAGTTGGTGTAAGGAGTCATACATATCTCAAGATCAGGTATAGAATTCACCAAGTATTTTGACGTATATTAGATAATCTGATTCTCATGACTTACTCGATATTTGTAATATTATCTTTATCAGTGTCCAAATCGCGCAGTACGAAGAATATACGAAGCCTTTGATAGACCATTTAGTTGCGAAAAAGGTTACTCATTGGGACACTGCAATTAGAGAACTTTCAGCTAGAGTAAGTCTAAAAATTTATGTACACTAATTTTTAAATGTATGATTTACTGAATATTACTAACGTTTAGTTCTGTATATACCACTAGTAATTTGTTGCAGTCGCTTTTCAACTTGACAGCAGCTGATCCACATTATATAATAAACACGGTACTACCAACTCTATTGGACCTGCTAAGTTCTATCGATTTAAATGTTAGGCATGGTGCAGTATTAGCTACTGCAGAAATTCTTGAAGCTTTGTACAATCATTTTAATGATAAAATTGAAAATATTATTGGTAAGAATTTATAGACTTACATGTATGCAAATCAGTTTTCTATTTTTCTTTAAATATCTGTAGCAAAAAAAGAAATCAATTTTATTCAGGACCTACGGCCGTAGCCGATATACAGGATGTAATAAGAACTTTCAGAAATAGAGGACAATTTAAAGGGCTTGGTGGAGAGTTGATGAAACAAGCTTGTGCTATGCTAATAAAAAAATGCTCCATTGTTCATTTTCCAATTCATTTAACAGATGTTGTAGGTATGTGTTAATAATTATGAAACAAGATTTACTTATAAAATTAAACTTTTATATTTAATATGTTATTATTCACATCTTTCCATGGATAATGCAGATGACTGGCAAAAACTATTGGAAGAATGCTTGAGTCATGAGGTATCGGCAGTTAAATTAAAAGCAGCTGAAGCACACACAAATTTCTTTGTAGAATATTATGCAGATATCGATTATGATACCCGAAGTACTGTGATTAATCGTTATTTAGAGTCCCTGCGATCGAGCCATCAGCCCATTAGAATAGGCTTTGCACAGGCGATAGGTAAATCAAAGAATTAACGGCAAAACGTTAAATTCCACTTTTTATATAAAGATCAAGTATATAATTTTCATTTATTTTACTTTTTAAAGGTTATTTTCCGCTATTTGTAATTCGTGAAAGAGTGAAAGACATCATAGAAGCATTAATCGCGTGTACTCATATATCCGAGAATACATCGAAATGGGCGGAAAGTAGGAAAGAAGCTTTGCACTCTCTAACAATGATATTGCAAACATTAGGAATTGATGAAGCAGGTAAATATATTCATTTATTTTGAGACATTAAAACTTGTCATTATGATACTGTAACATAAAAAGATTATTCTTCAAAGAAATTAATGCATTTGGAATATGAATTATATAGAAAAAGATAATGAAATTTAAAATCATTTTTCAAATTATGATCATCTTGTACTGAATGTGATATATTTAAGCAATATCCTTGATTTTTACTGACAAAAAAATTTTACAAATTTTTTCAGACAAGTGGCGACTGTTTGTACCAGATCTCTATAATTGTTACCTATTAGCCCTTAAGGAATATACAATAGATAGTCGTGGAGATATAGGCGCTTGGGTGCGAGAAGCAGCTATGATTGGATTACATGTGCGTGGAATATTTCCTCATGGAAAAATAATTTAAGATCATAATATCGTTAACGCAATGTGTATCGGAATTAATTGTTAAATATCTATATTGTTACAGGTATTGACCAACCTAATATCGCAAGCAAAACTATCGTCCATTTTGAATGAGAACTTGATGGCTAGTATAATCGGTGGTATCGCACAGCAGGCAGTCGAAAGGATAGATGGAATTCGAGCTCAGGCTGGTATTGTATTTAGTGCGCTTATACACAGGTAAAAAAAAAACGTGTTAGTGTGTGTATATATGTAATTGATCTTGCCAATTAAGACGTATAAAGTATTTTAAGTCGTAAAATCAACTACTGTTACATCTCTTCTCTTTATAGCGATCCACCACTTCCGAATATTCCGTATCACGACGAGTTAAAAGCTATATTTCCCTATAACGAATGTAAGGAAACTATCGAATGGAGAATGGAATCTGCAACATTTCCACGATTTATTAAGATGTTAAATTTCCCGCCGTATAAAATAAATCTGTTGCGCGGAATTATATTCAGCGTCGGTGGCATAAGCGAGTCTTTGGTATATTTAATACAAAATAATAATCTAAATCAATTTGTCTGTATTAAGTATAGCATCTATGCAAGCTTATTTATTTAGTAAAGGAGAGATTATTAGTCGATATTTTAATGTAATCTAATTTTAATAATTGTGTTAATCAATTTCGTTTATAACAAAACATTTTTCTTTTGTCAGGTAAAATACTCGAGTGTTTCTTTGTTTACTTATCTACAAGAGATTGACGAGACCGGATTGAGAGATCTATGCGAGAAGATATTAAACATATTTGAGGAAAGTCATAAAAACGAAAGGATGATAATATCGATGTTTGCTTTCTTGGATCGTTTATTGAGTTCAGGTTGCATTCAATCTGTCTTGGATGATGCAAATAATACTATCTCAGAACGTATATTAGTACTATTAAAACACGAAATAAAATATTCCAGCAATATGAAACTGCTCATTAGTAGTATAAATGTTTTCTGTCAGTTATTACAGGTTTGTAAAAGTATTAAGTAATTCATTAATTATTAATTCTTAAGAAATTAATAATTAAGAACATATTTAATTTACAATATATAACTTTATCCAAACCTATAAATGAAATTGATTTGTATTAAATATTACATCTCTAGGTACAAGGTCCTGTTGCAGAAAGAGCATTTTGTCAATTAAGTATATTTTTGTGTCACAAATACACAAGCTTGAGAAAGACAACAGCTATACGTACTTATGAAACATTAACTCTTTATGGAGAGGAGATAGATATAGCAGAAAAAGATTTGGCAAATATTCTTGCAATATTGAATGCAACAGATTGGGAACAACCAATTGCAGATTTACGTCCAATCAGAAATCATTTGTGCGAGTTAATGAAAGTACCTGCACCAGTTTTGCAAATAAAATCTACGAATTGAGAAAGACTACTTAATATATAAAGAATCTTAAGATTTTTTCAAATTATATTTTATTTCTTATATGGCATAAAGAATGAGACGAAATTAAATCATTAATATGCTAAATTATGGCAGAGAGGTATTAGTATTTTTCATAAATTATATATAGATTAAATTGTGTATATCGTTTACAATTTGAAAATATTGTACATACATACGAAAATACAATTTTTTTTTTTTTATGTAAGCTACATGAAGTATATATTTTGTAAAACGCATTTCACAATTTTTGTCACATTATTTTATATACAGAATAAATGTATAAAAAAAATTTATATAATATTATATATAAAAGAGAAATACTTTAAAGGCACATATATATATATACACATACATATATTTAGGGATGTATTCCGATTCCCCACCCGGGTGCACCCGATGTTATAGTTTACGTCACGTACACTATAATATCGGGTGCATCCGGGTGGGGAATCGGAACACAGCCCAGATGTATAAATATAATTCATATTCCTAATATAGTTTGCAAAATAATCGAGTATTTATATTAACAAAATTGTTTGCAAAACTATATTCCTTGTTTCATGTGTATCTCAACATTCATTATTATCATACATATTCATCTTTTGTTCATTAAAATATTTTATATTAATGCTGATATTATTAGTTATATAATGAGCTAACAGTTTAGCTCCGCATTTCTCAATATTCCACTGCTCTATCCACCAATTGCGTTTGCTGATTCCACCCGTTATAGGATCTGTTGGTAGAGGACAATCGTATTGTTTTTTCGTTACCGTATGTATTTTTGATTCGCGATTATTATGTATTTGTTCGCAAATTAAACATTCGAATTCTTCCACGTAATTTCCAAACTCATGAGGAATTGCCGTCGATCTTCTTTCAAGTGCACGTAGTAATGCACTATTTGTAACGCGATACTCACGCTCATTTAATTTGTGAGATAAGTATTCCTCGTATGCAGAATCATTTCTCACAAGTTTGTGCAAAAACTCAGAGAGTGTTGTTGGACCAGTAAAATCTAATATCGAGATGGCGGATTTATTATTTGGAAGCCAATCCTACAAAATCAAATGTCCGAGATGGATTAAGTATTATTTAAGTGTAAAACTTGAATCAATCTTAAAGTTATGATACACACACACTTTTAATGTAGGATACCTTAAAGGACGGTGATCCATAATATATGGGTACAGAGCCAACAATAAGTGGCCTCCACAGTTTTTCTGTGATATAATCATCACAAATTGCATTTTCAAAAGCTATAGTAAACTTGTATTTGGCCACAAAGGATAAGAATTCACGATTATTTAAAATATTGAGATAGTTTTCCTTGAACCTGAATAGATATATTTTATCCACTAATAATTATTAATCTTATAATTCGCGATATCAAAATTGTATGTAAAATAATGTATATACCTGTCATCAAGGCGAGCATTATTTACACATGTACCATAGGAATCAATACGAATATATTTCATTAATTCTAAGACATAACGATCCCTGTCACTAGCAGTATCACAGTCAGATTGAATGTATAATACTGGCGCGTAATTTTTTGCACGTATCAATGCAGACTTTTCTTTGGTGGGAACATAATACGATTTTGCTATGAAAATATATCTTGTTTTCAAATTCTTTTTTATGCATGTAATTTATAATTCACAAAAATTGTCTCAGATTGTTTTAATAGCAAGAAATGGAAACTTGGAAATAATTTTTGTTAATTATATCTTTTAAATTTTTATCTATATTTACCTATTAATTCTTCTAAACTGAATAAATCAAGAAGTGTGAGTGGCACATCGCTAAATCTGCTAAAGGTTGAAGAATAGTTAAAAAGATTAAGTGCTTTGTCGTGAACAAGTATGGGATTATTTCTAGGAGATTCTTCATGAAGTAAACCCCACGATACAGCACTGCTCCTCCAATTAGGCAAATCATGAATGCGGAGATTACTTCCGTAAAACAAAATACTCTATAAAAATCAATAAATGCGTGTAATATTCAGACTCTTGGTTTAGGAGAGATTGTATTCTTGCATTTCAAGAAATATAAGAGAATCGTACTTTCAAGCGTACGTTGTTCTCAAATGCTCTATTGTGTGTAAAGTAACATTTATCATTTCCGCAAGTTTTCACTTGATTATTATTACCAAACGGAGTCCACCATAGTACAACAGGTATATCGTCATCTGGATGTGACAAGTAATCATAAAAATACTTTGTCACTTTTTGTTGAAAAAAAAAAGCAATGGTATGACAGTAATGTGAATTACCTGATAAAGACAAACTTGTGCGGTCGTAAAACAGTAAACGTAACTGAAAATTTTCAAAATTAATTAGCTCTCACAACCGTAAAGTTTAATTAATTTATCGTTAATCGACCCTTTTTTATATACCTGAAATATTATGATACATAAACCTAGCGTTGTCGCGGTTGCAAACATAATACGTAATCTCCGTGGCATTATAATTTACAAGACGCACATTTATAAAGATACAATATATCTTTCTCAAAATATATACTTATATTAATATTTACTAATTATTAACAAAACATAACCTAAAAAAAATGACAAGACTAAACGTCAAACTTTGATACTGAAAAATTGTTGCTTCAATCAGCGCGCAGATATTTGTCAAGCGTGCCGATTGGCTAATGCGTTTCGATGTTAGAATATCGATATTTCGAAATGATATCGATATCGACATCAATGAACCGCATAAAAATATCGATGCTCGAAAGTATCGTTCGCAGCTTCACACGTCGTGCTTTGTCGCCCGCTATATCTCATATAGAGAGTCATAAAGGGAGATCTCGAAGAAATATCGCGCGACTATTCTATGCTATGTGTATATGTGTGTATGTTTTACCTCCCGCTGCGATCCAACGACGGCATTTATCTTGGTGTGTGCCTTCGGACCGCTCCAAAGACAGCCAGTTAGCTTGACTAGTCGGCCGACCAATCAGTCGTAGGAGTTCATCGTGTTGCTCTCGTATATCTCCGTCACGCTCTAACCTCTCAACCGCATCCGTCACGCGAGCCGTCTCGCTCTCGCTTTCTTCCTTCACCCTCTTCTCTTTACCGCACCTTCGTTCCCCTCTGCCGAGCTACTCTTCCTCCTTCTCCTCCTCCGTCACCGCTGCCCTCTTCCTGTGTCGCGTTGTACGTATCGCGCCGTTTGTCTCTTCCTCTCCCGCCTATATCGTCCCTCTCTTCCTCCCTCCCTCCACCCCTCTTGTCACTCGAGCTTCTGCTGGCTACGTCGGTGTATCGTCGTTGCGCGATTGTACGTGCTCCCGTGTGCATTACGGACGGCTCCAGGTATCCAGGATGCAAGCTATCAAATGCGTGGTCGTCGGCGACGGGTACGTAATACACGGAGTCGTCGTGAAAAATGTTTCACCGAAATTCGAGCTCGGTCAGAGCGGGGAGAACCCCACGAAAGGATCCGCCGTCGCCGCTCGTGCCCGCTGGGACGATCGTCGAGCGAATCGGGTTACCTCCGGAACGCCAAAGCGCTCCAAAACTCGCGATCGTCTCCATATATTTCCAAAGTGCGAGCTTTCCAAGTACCTCGCACGCGAGCTCACCACGCCCGTGCGGGATCGTGAAACGACGTTGACGTGTACACGCGTGTTTTCGCGAGGACGTCATATATATATATATATATATATTTTTTTTTTTTCGCACGGTTTGTTCAACGTAGTGTGTAAAATCGTGGCCTCGATTGTTAGCTTTACCAATCGGAAACATTGGCCTTTTGTAACAAGAATATGAATCAAAACGCTCGCAATAATTTCAATATCTCGATTTCGCGAGGTACGCATTTTATATCTCTCGCGCAATGATTCATCCAATGAGTATATTTACGCGTTTTATTTCTTTTTTTTTTTTTTTTTTTTTTTTTTATTGTGTAAAAACAATATCTCGAAACTGCAACGACGTTATATTTTTTTACCGTGGAAAACCAATCCGGTTTATAAATCAATCGGAAGAATATTAGACTGAATTATTATATTTGTATTCTCTCTTCTCTAGTGCTGTTGGTAAAACATGCTTGCTGATAAGCTACACCACCAATGCATTTCCTGGGGAGTACATTCCAACAGTGTTTGACAATTATTCTGCAAATGTAATGGTCGATGGGAAACCGATTAATCTCGGTTTATGGGATACAGCAGGGCAGGAGGATTATGACAGACTGCGGCCATTGTCGTATCCACAGACTGATGTCTTTCTGATCTGTTTTTCATTGGTAAATCCGGCGAGTTTCGAAAACGTACGCGCCAAATGGTATCCTGAAGTGCGTCACCATTGTCCCGCCACTCCGATTATTTTGGTCGGCACTAAACTGGATCTGCGTGAAGATAAAGAGACCATTGAGCGTTTGAAAGACAAGAAACTAGCTCCCATCACATATCCACAGGTTTGTCTTTCTATGGCAATTACATAATGCTAATGATATGAAGACTTAATACAGCAAAAAATGTACATCTAGATTAGAATTCTATATTTTTATTAGTAATAATAATAATGAAACATTTATCTCTTTTATATTTTTATTTATACAACAAAATAAATTCTGTTTTAAATGTAATAATTATAAAAAAAATTAATTATATATGAACAGTAAAAAAAAGTTTTGATTAATGTATAATAACTTATTATAAATATTTATAACATTGATATATTAAAGTATGTTTTTTTTGTGTCTATAGGGTTTGGCTATGGCAAAAGAGATTGGTGCTGTCAAGTACTTGGAATGCTCTGCTCTGACGCAGAAAGGTTTGAAGACTGTGTTTGACGAAGCGATACGTGCTGTATTGTGCCCTGTTTTGCAAGTGAAGCCAAAGCGCAGATGTTTCCTTCTATAATATTAAATGTACCCCTCTTTGCACGTTGGTACTGGAATATGTTAAACTGTCTCATCTCCAGTGTACCAAACGCGAATCGAATTAATCGGACAAGTTACCGACATTTGGAACCCCAGTTGTACCAGCCTATGCTAGCGTCAACAGGCTGCAAACATCTGCCAGCATAAACGCACAAATATTAGTTCGGTATAAAATTTCCAGCGAGCAAGACAAGAGGGTTTCACACAGGAAATCATAAATTCGGAATATATAAATTCATTCTTATGTGGCCTCCAACATCCTATAAGAAATTAATCGAGGAGTTTTTGTGCTCTCTCGCACGAACAAAGCTTCCAGTCTAGACAGTCTGATAATAGGGCTATAAATGCAAATCGACTGGATGTTCTAAGCGAAAAGAGTGTAAAAGAAGCCAAAATAATTGAATTAACTGCTGTACAGTATACTAGAGTATATTATGAATATTATAATTAATAATTAAGTATGAATGGTAAAAGAAGAAGCAAATATTACCATATAATTGTATAAGCGTCCAAACATTGACTGTATACTGATCAGTTTAATCAAAGAGGAAAACCATTTTATGCTATTTGCCATTGTACATTTTAGGTAGGACATATATAATTAACATGTTTAAAAAAAAAAAAGAAGAAAACAGTTTTTCCTTATCGCAAAGGATTGCAATACGCGTGTCAAGATATAAATTTGGAGAGAAAGAGAAAATATTTTTTAGAGATATGCATAGGGTACATGGCAAATCTGTTTGGACGATATTCATCTAGATGTTCATTATAAATGTGAATAACAGTAATTCCACACACATACACATTTCTCAAAGTACTTAGAGCAACCATACATATTTTTCTTTTTATTCAGATATTCACTAATAATATGTTAAAAGCTTCAAAGCTTTGACAAGATTGCTTTTGCAAAGAGAGTTAGCTGTTGAAAATTTCACTGAGAGAGTTTGTTTGTCTAAAATCCCAGATTTATTTAAGAATTTGTATATAAAATCTAATTTCAGACATTGAATGTGTAATCAAATGTCATTCAATGTTAGGTGTACATGTCCGACATTTTCTGTGTTCATTCGTACAATAGTTAACAATATTTTCAATTTTATGTGAGTTCATGATGATTAAAAAACGATGATTAAATGACAGATACACGAACTTAAAACAAAACAAAAAAATATATATTAATATAGCTATACATTTTCGAAGCGGAATCAGTAGCACAGCGGCCGCATAACATGGCTTCCTTCTTCCACTAAATTGGTTAACAATTACATAAACATTACAATTACTGTAAACGTTACATACCATAATTTAAGAGATAGCTAACTATTGTACAAGAGTTTTTTAGATGTATGTGATATAAGTATAAAAATATTATCAAGTTTACAGATTTCTCTGCTTCGTTCGTAAATATCTTTTACATGACATGATCTGTGATTAGTTACGCGCGATATGCATTTCTTTTTACAGAAACTGTCGTGTTATCGAGCTGGAATTAAAAAGAGTATTGCCCACAGACTTCTATAATATATAGAATAATAATATAATATAATAGAAGTCTATGGTATTGCCGTATAATCATCTCAAAAACAAAATACAGCTATTGAAGCAGAGGATTATGTAAATGTTCCTGCATGTGTGAGAGAATGTTATCAATGTGGAGGAGAGAAAGAAAAAAAGTATGAGTGTATATGTAACAAGAGAGAAAGAATATGCTATAGCATATAACAATTGTATATAAACGCTGAACTTCAAATGTATTCCTACTCTTATTACCACGCATGATATACGATTTTATACATAACGTATACGTATAAATGTGTGATAATACGAGTCATATATATATATATAAAAGTCGCGCTGATCGAATCTAAATCGAACGTTACTTGTTTTTTATATATATATTATAAATATATATAAAAAAAGACGGCGCGGGGGGAAAAGAGGGGAGTTGAACCAAGACCTAACTACTCTCAATCATCGCAGACTCATTTATTAATCTCTGTGCAATCTGTTTGAGAAAGAAAAATGAAAAAAGAGCGAGATTTGGTCCATGGAAAAAAATCATAAAACTACTGTAACGGAATATGCTTTATATTAAAAATGGGTGTTTATTAAATATTTTAGTTAATTTCTTTTGTCGAGAAATATAATCTTCGGTACAATACACTTGTATACTGTTATTATGCGGCGCTGTCGAAAAACGTATTGATCAGTGTCGATATCTGATCAGGCGTGTACTTTATATACTTCGCTGGATTCTTTGAGAACGACGTGCCACGATATTTGTTATGGAACGCAGTATATAGTGGAACGATCGCCTCTTGCAGTTCCTTCCTTAACTCCTCGCGCAAACATCTGTCAGGTACTGAGTAAGAACGCTGACACTTGGCTACTTCCTCAAGCTCTCTCGTGAAACCCAAGAATTTTTCCTTCAATGTTTTGGCGGCAAGATCTGATGCAAAGGAAAAACGCATACGAGAATTAATGTGATTAAATCTAGAGATCCGCTAATTGTTAAACACTTCGATCATTGTTTCAGAAAGTAGATAATACTAATAATACACGACATTATGTGAATATGAGCTCAACGTATTTGTATGTTTGCTATTTCTTTCTATATGTAATGTCGCTGAAGAAATATCTAGAATCTTATTTTTATAACTTCTCTCGTTGAAATTTTTTTTTAACGTGAAAGCACGAACCTGGCTCGTCTGCGAGATACGATCGCGCTTTGGCGAATGTCGTAGTAACGTAATTGTTCTTGTCTTTGAAGAGTAGATCGTGATACGTTTGTTCTGCACTTGGTTCGGCCAGTAACAGTAGTTCCATGAGGGAACTTCGACAGAGAGCGTTGACCACATAATTGTGATTATTCAGCCGGAATAAAGCTCGTAAAGCGAGATCTGAGTAGGACGCGTCACTTTTATTTACTAATGCTAGATTCAACTGAGCGAGTACCTTCTCTGTAAAAGAATGAAACAAGTTTTCATGAAAATTAACTAACAATACTCTTCTTTTATAGCCGCTTCAAATTAAGTTTTATGTAGAATAAATGACGACACATGAGAGGATCGTACAAACTTACTGATATATACACCGAGAACCATTCTATGTACATTTTCCGGATCTTTTGAGTGCAACGCAGTCTGATCGATGAAAAGATTGCGTCGCAGAACAGCACCAGCCATGTCCGCGTATTCGGCCAATTGTTCTAAAAAGATTAAGACATTACTAGTTCCTTCTGCCACAGTACCGTCTTTTGGTAAACCCGCGCCGGATTCGTTTCTCACGCTCTCCGCAAACTCTTCCAAAGCTTTAGCACCCTACAAAATTAATAGTTTATTTTATTATATTTTGGTTACGTATGTCTCAGAAAAAAAGAGCGATGTGAAACGTACGGTTGTGTGTAATGTGTCAAGTACGGACGCGAACTTTGAGCGGAGCGCGTAATCGCAACCCTCGACCGTTCTCTCGAGATCGGGCTTTAATTCGCCGAGATGCTTTAAGATCGGGAAGACGACAAGAACGGCGGAGAAATCGCGTCTCGTAATGCACCGTTTGGCACGCGTAGCTATGCTGTCTCCATCGTGAGCCACTAAGTCCATTGCGTCGCGAACGGTAGCTTCGAGCACTTGAGCCTGCAAGGGGGGCGATAAGATCCTTGCGACCAGCGTGCGCTCGGCCTGTATGAGCTTGTGCAGACCGGCCGCTAACAAGAGATAATTCTCCATCTCCTGTTCGTCGGGCGCCGCGTCCTCCATTGAGTATGGCGAAAGTTGCGTCGGTTTCCTGGATACGGAGTTCAGAGCCAGATTCAGCCTCGTTGTTTGCGATGCTTTCAACAACATTCTGTTGGCCTTGTCCAAAGCATGCTGCAGTCGTCGCGATGCTCTGCGTCCCGCGTTCTCCTGACCGTCCAGAGAATGCCGATTAGCGAATTTCGCTCTCTGCGAAATTATATTAAAATAAGTATTTTTTTCCCAAGAATTATATGTATTTTTACGTGTATGTGTATTCTATTTACAGGCATAGGACTTCCGGCGTGGGTGCTACCGCCACTGGCGCTCCTTTGATGCTCTTTGAGCAGTTGTAAGGATTTTAATACAATGCCGGAACGTACAGAAGCATATATCTTTGTATGTCTGCAATGGCCTCTTTCCTCAAGCCATTTGGCGATCTTACATAAATCGCTCATAACGCTTTCAGGTAATTGACAGAGAGACTGTGGTGCATCCTCGCCACTGGTGTCCTCGTCGGAACCGATTAAATCCAAAAGTACAATTGGAAGAATTGGTCTACTTTGACGAGAAAGGATATCGTGAAATTCAGCATAAAGCGATTTTAAGCCGTTTGAAAAGAGGTCTGTAACGTTTTGTAATTCGACAGAGCTGGGATTATTTTTCTGGAAGTATCGTTGAGCGTTATATAGACGATTCATAGCCTCGAGAAAACCGTCCAAACCACTGGGCCCACTTGGCTCTGCGCGCACTACAGCTTCCACTTCTTGACATACACCATAGTATCCAATAGCATGGTCCAGTATGCTTAAAGTTTTTTCTATATCTGTAATATTAGTCAAAGAATTTGTAGCACAAAGTTGGCACAATAATTTCAGGATATTCTATACTTAAAAAGAGAATAATGAAACAAATACATACTGTGTTGCTGAGCTTGGAGATTCGCAGTCTCATTATAAACAGGAAGTATGGTACGACGCAGTGTAGCTAAACGTTCTTCCAAGGAAGAGAGTATTCCCACTACTCCACTCGTTAATCGTCGGCTGCGTTCCTCCGCCTCCTTCAGAGCTTCCAGAGCAGCAATTTCCGACTCCAATTTACATTGTATCTCAAACCGCCTTTCAGAAGTGTCAGTCCGTGTCGCGTGCATGTTCTCTTCATTTATTTTTGGATATAAATAAAAATAACGTTAACTATATATAACTGTGAGTTAGTGGAATATTAAGTGGATTTTTGTTAAAGAACAAATATCTTCAAGAACATCTTTGACAATTATTGTTTCCAGAATTTAATACAAGTCCAAAATTGTACAATTTTTAAATTCTTTTTCTGCATATATATATATA